AAAATGAATGTAACCCAATAAATGCTCTCTAAAATCTGAAGCTTCCCACCTCCTACACTAAACAGATGCTGTGGCTGAAATCGGTCATTTGTTCACACATTTACTATTTTCCATATGGATAATGGCATATAGTGCACTATATAGGGGATAGGTAAGGATTCAGACTGTGTAAATATGCTTTCTATTGGGGGTGAAGTCAGGAATTTTGTTAGTGTCACGCGAACCGCTGCTGCACGCACACAGGCTCCGGTTCAGAGGCACGATCATCTGTGCGAGTCGGCCACAAAACGTATCGGACTCATTTGAATTCTGCACAGAATGAAGGAGATTAGGAGGAGAAACGGTTAGACAGACTCAGCATTAGAAACAACTCTGACGAGTAGAAGAGATAACACCAGTGCCATGCCCCAACATAACTTACACACTTTTCAAACTAAACATCCTCAACATGATTTTGTTCATTGTTTTGCTTTAACAGTTTCATCTAAAAATGGAATCTATTAGACTGTGGATCCCATAAGCAGTCAAATGTGGCTGGCTTTGCCAAACTCAACGGCTCCGGCAGAGCTCTGATTTAAATGAAATGCTATTGACTATTTGAAAAAAAAAAGGGAGGATTTGCTCAATATGTTCCGCCATGTCTTCCTTTTTCAGTGGAAATTACGTCAACACACTGAATAATGCTGTACGTTTCAGGGCACTTCAGTGGGCCTTTAAACTGTTCTCTACTCAAAGAGAAAAGGTGCAATTAATACTCCTGATTAGATTTCAGGATGTGTGGTATCAGCTGAAATTAGAAGATGCATCTATAATAGAAACAGACAGATAAATTTGACTTTAAAAGAGAGAGAGAGAGAGAGAGAGAGAGAGAGAGAGAGTGTGTGTGTGTGTGTGTGTACAATAATTAAAGATTTTTTTAATAATGAATCATTTTTTTAAAGAAAATAATGAGTTTTCTAAATAATGAGGCAGTTTACTTTAACATGCAAACAAATGAGTTAAATTTTGAATCTGTTTTCTTATTAACACAGGGAGCTGTATACATTATACCATTTTTAAATACTAGACCACATGGCAAACAAAACGTGTGCATTTTTTTTCTACTTCACCTTTCTCTCCCTAGTTTAATATTGTTCCTATTTTTAATTCATGAGCCCATTCTGAACTGCAAACCAGATTTGTGGTCTGAAACGTTAAATCTCCAGCAGGCACTATTTGGGGGGATGGGGGATTAGTCCATTTTCATTATTTGCAGGGGTCAAAGGTACTGTTCAACACCAATTTGTTAACTAAAATTTGTTGAGTCTAATGATGATTAATGCCCTTGTTGTAGGCCTTGCACTGTTACACCGAAGCACTGTTTTTTTTCTTTGTTTTTTTGTGTGGATTTTTTTCTACAAAAGCAATTAGAGTACTTTTAAAACCACGAAACGCATCACGGGCTGACAGGTTAAGCTTTTAATGCAAATGTGACAGCAGCATAAAGTACAATACGACAAAATGTGATGGTGCTGGCCTAATTGCTCACAACTAAAAAGAATTAATATTAAATGAGGGCCTTCAAACACAGGCTCGATGATTTCAGCGCCTAAGCATATACGGTGCGTACATACATGCACGATAGCCCCAATGGGCGACGCAGTGTGACATTTCTTCACTCAAGTATTTTAATGATAATTGCATTAACCAAAAACACTAAATCACAACTACAAAAAAATAAATAAATATATATATTTTTTTTTTTAATTCTAGCCTGCCACAGTATGGTGACTGTTCAGTGAAACAAAGTTCATCACCTAAATAGATGTGTAAAATGGGTACTTCATCCACAGTTGAGCCTTCATGAATTCTGACGATAAAGACATTCGGTTGATCTAAATCGATAAAAGAAGACATTAGATCTTGGCTTTAAATTTTACGATGAAAGGTGTCCAAATTGTATGACAGTTTAACAGAGAACCTCTCTCAGAGTAAGGTCAGAGGACAATCCCTCTTAGCAGTCTCTTCCACACCTTTATGCCATTTGTGTTTCGCAACAGAAGTGATGTAAGGCATGAGAAGAACACTGGTTTTCAAGACAGGAGCAATCTGAACTGTGTGTTTGAATCTAGTCTTTTGGCTTGATGTGAAAAGCCCGTAAATCAGGTGTGCGTGTGGAATACCAAATCGCAGGAGAAAGAATAGAACTCATCAATCATGGGTGACGTGCGCTTTGCTGCACGGGAGGGAAGCCAAGCCACATTAGTGTTGATGCAGCAATGCTGTGGTATGGAGGACGGCAGAAGGAAAAAAGGAGGCAAACAATTCAGAATTATAGACTATTAATGGAAAACATTATGGAAACAGGTCAACTAAGTGACATCAACATAAGGCCTTTCGATGATTATGGACGGGTCACACTAAATTTAGGCAGTAGTTAACAAGGTCTAAGCTAGGAGGTCTTTAATACCTGTAGAAAGCACCAGTACCTCTTCCATTCATCTCAAAAATTAGTAGAATTCGACGGTTAGTAGATTTTTACCAATAACTATTATGTTGGATATCGATATTTTAACGATAACAAAAAGTACTGTAGGTTGGACCACACTGGCCGATAACCAATTTATAAACTGATAACAGAGTTTTTTTCCAAATTGATACTGAATAAAAACAAACATAATATTCCAAGTAAATAGGGCTGAACTTTCTTACAAAAAAATTAAAGAAAAAACTGTACTGAAATGTACTATACTTGAAATATATAAAATAAATAAATATTAATAATAATCTAAAATAACTAACTAAAATGCATAGAACTTAAAGATTTAAAAATGTATTAGTAAATGTTAAAATTAACTTATCTCACAAGGAACTTCTAGAGAATTTATTAACCTTATTCCAAAAGTAAATGTTGGAAAAATCTTTTGAGATGTGTTGCAAATGTGAAAATGTGATTCTCCATTTGTCAATTTGCCACATTTTGTTACATTTAATGTGTGGTTTCAGGCTTTCAAGCCTTTGGCAAAATAATAAATAAAATAACAAAGTTAAATGCTTTATTATGTGTGATATACATGTTTAATTTATTTTAAGACATTGAATGTACTGGAGCAGTGCAGTAAGCAGACCAATAGCTGAAGATCTAAAATAAGTTAAGAATGCTTGGTTCAACTCATTATATGTCTTATTTGTATATATAAATGAACAGAATTAAGATTTGTTTTGATCTCATATGGCCTGCACTGTGTTGGATTTACTTAAAATGCAACATACCTTTTAAGTAATCCCAACTTGGAATAATTTTACTTAAAATTAACAAGAAAACCTTTGTTATATGTTCATGCAACATTCTTTACTTAAGAATATATATATATATATATATATATATATATATATATATATATCACATTACATATAACTGTATGGTAGCGTACTTTTTTTTTTTTTTTTTTTTTTCTTTGAGATGTTCTTTCTTGTGTTCCCAAGATATATCATCATAGGGCAAAGATGCTATAAGAGACTTTGGGATTTGCACGTAATAAAGAAAAAAAGTTTTTTCCTTGACTTGGGGAAATCACAAGGGAAAAACATGCCAATCTGCTGGACTCTGATGTGCACCTCTGATCTCTTCAAAAAACGCTTTAAGGCGACAGATCAGAGAACGGACACGGGCCCATGTGGATAGGTCAACGCCACTGTCAGGATGCCATTCTATGTGCCTTTGTGCTCTCACTCCCCTTTATAGCATTCTCTTCCAGCGACTTGATTTGGCATCACCTGTTTACCATCATGCCAATTGGCCTGCTAGCATGTCTACTCGCCTTTCTTGTTTCTCTCAGGCCTGTATTGCTAGCCACAGCACATATGCCCTATTATGGCTCCGCCAGAGGCAAGACTCCCTTTCATGACACCTTACTGCACTACTGACAGGATTCTTAGCCTGAACAGTTGCCTTGGGAAAAGCATGAACATATATAAATATAGTGAAGCATACAAACAACACACAAAACCAGCTCCTTAAAAATGCATCAATTGACCACAGCTGCCGACACACATGGCAGCGGAGTCCTGGGTGACACACTGAGAAAATTTGTATTTTGTAAATTGGAACTGCAGGTTGTGCTTAAGTATAAAAGGGATCACCCCTTTTATACTTCAGCAAAACCTGCAGTTCCAATTTAAAACGAAGGAGAGAAGATTCAAGAGAGAAAGACGAGTGTGAAGCAAAGATAAGAGGCTAAAAAATAGGTATGAAGTGATACACATGGAAGAAGTCAAAAAGAGCCCTTGGAGGACAAAGTGGGGGTGTCATTAAAGACATTTTCATAGCCCCGGGAAGATAAAATATTTAAAAAAAATATAGAAATAAAGCTGTTTCATTGCACATGGATCAAGCAGTGTTAAAAGAACCAATGAGTGTATAGGAGTCAGGATTAGAAAGATGGTTAGGAGGTATTTCATTAACATGACGTGTTTGAAGTTTCCCATAGACAAATCCATTCCATTTTGGTCTTGGGAGCAGTTAAGCAAACACACATATTTTAATGAGGACAAATAAATAATTGTGACACAGCAGCTTTTTGAGGGAGTTTGTTATCCTGTGATTACTATAGCTCAATTGGTCAAAGAATCACAAATCTTTATGGGATAAAAGAACAAGCAAGAGCCTGCCTGAGAGAGCATAATTAAAACCACCCTATCATCTTCAAGTAGATGCCAACCAGGTAGAAGAAGGTATCTCAGGTACACTTGTATACATGCATTATTTTACAGCCCAGAAAAAAAACTGGTCCTAAATGAGGAAAAAAAAATAAATCAAATGAATTAACAGGACTAAAATATGCACTAACAAATCAATATGTAATTGTGAATTAACACCTCGTCCGCGGTTAAACAAATCGCATACTGTGCCAAAAACATTTAAAAACCGTGTCACTCCTAAAATAAATCTCTGCCAAAAACATATCCACTTCTTTTCCCACCAAACCCAATGGATTGTAAGTCGAGGTATGGAGTCTTACCTCACATTCTCTGGAGCCAGAGATGGTGTAGGTGCATGGTCCAGTACCATTGACTAGCACATCTGTGCCCTCTGTATTATTAGGCTTGTAGTCCACATAGTACTCCTGCAATGGTGTGCTGAGAGTGCGCTCTGTCTCCCGTGACTTTTTCCGACGTTTACGAGCTGAAGCCGAGTTTTCCTGCAGCTGCTTTACACTGCTTGGATAGCGCTTCCACGAGACATAAATTACCAGGAGGATCATAGCAACTGACAGGAAAAGGGCAACACTTCCTGCCACTATCTTGTGGAATGATACTGGTTCGAAGTCTTGCTCAGGTGGTGGGACAGCGGGCTGAGAAGGTGCTGAAGAGGTGGTACCTTCCAAGGATGTCCCCAGGCCCCCTCTGCTGTCTCCAGATTTAAGAGTAGGGACAAAAGAGCTGGCTGGGGTCTGTGCAAAGGCAACAAAGGGGGTAGAAGGAGCTATTACAGTTGATGGCATAGCAGGGGCAATCATGCAAACTCTATTGGCGTCAACTGCATCCATAACCTTCTCCCCTTGGACTTCTTTGGGTGATGCGCAAATCATATTAATTTCTTTGTTTCCACGGAAGGTTCTCAGCCAGGCCACTAGCGGACACACAACTGGTCCACAGTCCCACATATTTCCTGCCAGACTAATTGCAGTCAGAGAGATCCAGGCATCCACAGCTTCTTGAGACACATTGACAAGCTTGTTTGAATCCAGGTTAAGTGTCTGCAGATTCGGCATGGCCCGGTACACTTCTGCATCTATCTCCTGCAGGTCATTTCCTGAAAGGTCCAGCTTCTGCAATGATGTCCAGGCCCACGTAAGGCCTTCACTCATGGTCCTAATGCGGTTCCACTGTAGGTAAAGAGCGCGTAAGTTATAGAAGCGTGGGAAATTGAAAAAGTTGATTTTGGAGAACTGGTTATGCTCAATATGCAGCTCAGTTAGCTTCAGCAGGCCAGACATTGAATTGCGAGTAATGCTGCGCAGACGGTTGTAGCCGAGGTCAAGGAACTCAAGATTACGACAGTCCTGAAAAAGGCGAGAGGGAAGATTCTTAAGGGAATTGGAGCGCATGTGCAAACTAAGTAGCTTGCGTAGACCCTGGAACTGCCCTGGTTGCAGAGCTTGTAGCTTGTTGTAAGAAAGGTCAAGGTTTCTCAAGTTTGGTACCAGGTGAAATGTGGTGTTATGCAGAATTGTGATCTTGTTGGAGCTCAATATTAGCTCTTTGAGCCTCCGTATCCCTTGAAAAGCACGTGCATCCACATTGGCAATGTAGTTGTGGTCCAGGTACAGCCAAATGAGCTGGTTGAGGCCAACAAATTGTCCAGCCTTTAGGCTTGCCAAGCTGTTATACCGCAGGGAAAGCCCTTGACAGCCACCAGAGAGGTTCTTGGGAACATCACGGAATGCGCTAGACTCACAGTATACAATCTTGCCATCACATCGGCAGCTCCGAGGGCAAGGACGGTCACCAAAGCAAGGAGTGGCAGAGAGCCATGCCTGCATTAGCAGTAGCACCATGAACCAGCGGTGCCTCATGGCAAAGCCTGAAATGCAAATAAAAATAAAAACAGTCAAAAAAACAACTTACTCTCTGAATATGCAAATATATTAAATAGTTTGATAACACCACATTTGATATAAAGTAATTCATTTGTTGATTTGATGCTGCATTAGCAGAGAAAGAATAGAAGTACAGGTATGTTTGCCGTCGAGGCTGTGAGGACTCTACCATTAGTACCACAAACGATTAAAACAATGTGACAAGCAAACCTGAACCAAATATTTAATGTCGCAATTGTTACCATTAGTTTATATCCAGCTGCTCAATTTTATGCATTCGTTACCCAGCGAAGTAGAATATTTAAAGCTAGTGATGTGATTGCTTTCTCAACATTGATATGTTCATCCAACGCATTCTCATCCTTTAGCGTCACATAGAACGCTATATGACAAAACAGCGCTATACTACGCACATGGCACCCGTTATCGTAAATACCCAGCCCTAATTGTTGAGCAGTTTCAAAGCAGAGATTAAGACGATTAATGAGAGAAGAAATATTGTAATTGTTCTGTGATTATAAACCCTTGAAATATTACATTTATACAGCAATATGATACCACACAGGACCCAATTAACAGTGGTGATTGTGCAAATCAATCCAGTCATGCTATGTTGTTTAATTCTTCTCTCTGGCAATGGCAAACATGCCTGTCTTCCAATAAGCTTGGACACGAGCCCACTACAGTATTAAAGGAAATGTCCTGAGAGATATGCCTCGGCCATCGTATTAGTCGCTAATTATAATCTAAATGATTGTCAGTCAACCAAATCAGTTATTTTTTGCCTGGATGTTCAGTGACTCTGCTAGCAGCCTTTGTCCATCTTTCCTTAATACACAAAGCAAAGCCCAGGTGTTGTTCTTGTCAAAAGAAATGAGAGGTCGAAGTGAGGCCTTATATCAACAGTGAGTTCACAACTAAACATTGGATCAAGAGGTTAGAGGTCTGGGTAAAATACGCATGTTCTCTATGTGAAGGTCTTGGCTAAAGTCTGGACATTTTCCAGGAATGGGATTTTATCATTTGTGCTGTGTCTTTCCATCCTTCATACCCACACTGTTTCAATTCCTTTTCTGATGCAACTTTTACAAAGCTGTCTAGAAATAGTATTCTGAAATGAAGTTCCTGAGGCATTATCTGTCTTTCTGAGACAAATACTGTGGTGATGATACATTAATATCGTCATAACAAGAATTCACGAAAATGGTTATACTGTATGAAATATCAAAATATACATTTGGCTTAAAGGCTAATTTATTGCAAAAACCATCCAAATGACACCTTTAGAAACGTGTACGGAACCATATGTGAATCTCTGCAAAGTTAAAATAATTCTACCAGATGTTCTCAAAGGTTGAAAAGGAGAAAATATTCATAAGGCACTTCCCTGCATTTAACAGCTTATCAAGACCAAACATTTAAAGGGTCAAGAACGTTATTGATGCACCATCTGTTCCTGATTATAATACAGTATACCATGGCCTCAAAAATCTTGCTTGCTGGCCTTGATGTGATTATTAGTGGATGTATTAAGTCATTTAAACCTAGTTAACAACTTCATTTTTGAAAACCATCATGAAGAACCTAAAAATGTCACTTGGTTTGATATGAAGAGTTCAGATGCAAAAGCCTCTAAGTGCCATTTGAAATTTTCTTCTAAAATGGCAATGAAGATTACCTATTAATTGTCATTTAAGTGAAATTACTGAACTTAAATATACAAGCTTGTTAAAAATGGTCATTCTAGAACAAAATTTCAAATGGCACTTAGAGGCTTTTGCATCTGAACTCTTCATATCTTCTTCTTTAATGCAATGACATTCATAAATTTTCAGCGCGTGGCTTCAGTGTCCAAACAATTTTTGAGATCCGCTGATTGTGAACAATAACAATCACAAAAACAAAGCAGGTTGATGTCCATGGGCGTACACTTGCCAACAACTGATGCACAAGCAGGCTGCAGTACAATAAAGTAATTACGTCACTGGCTTCCATTCACACTAACCAGACAATCAGACTGTATCAGCGTATTGACATTTGCTAATGAAATGATGCTGATAAAGTTAATGATCCAAGTGAAGTCTAATGAAAATTAATTTGTAACAAACTTGCTCTGCCACTTTTCTTGTTTTAGATGCATCTACACTTATTCTTCTCTTGGTAAAACTGATTTTGCCTCTGTATACCTACATACCCTTCACAGTGATGCTCCAAAATTTTACCAGGTTGGCTATTTTATGTTTGCTGTCAAGATCTCCCACTACAGTGCCGCAAAGCAGCAAGCATAGCTCATCATTTACGAGCTGTGGAAGGCCATCTCGCTGCACGCCGCTAACGAATAACAATCAGAGCAGGTCACATATCTGTCAAATAGCCCCTGTAAATTATTGAAAGCACATCCATAATCAAGTACTCTAATGTGGCCATGAGAAGGTCTTTGACTTACATTTAATTGCAGTGCTTAGTTAAATAAAGATGAGTTTAGTAGAAATCACGAAAAACATGTAAGAAATATAACTCTGCTAAATATGTATACATGTTGTAAGCATGTGAAATGCATCTGTTAATAAATGCAAAATTAAATGCAAATAAGCATCGAAAAATCACACACTGTTAACACTGATGCAATGCATACTGTCAATTTGCTTTTCTGTCAATAAATAAAATGTGTAATAGCATGTGGCTTCACCTTTCTTTGAAGAAATAACGCCTTCCAAGCTTTGTATGCACACTTGCATTGAAAAACATGTGTACACATGACAATGCATGCTCATAATGTGCACCTTTCCAATATCACAAATCTAAGAAAGAATATCAGCTATTGCTGTATGATCTCCACACTATCAATAATGCAGGGGCACACTCTTAAGTTTTGCCAAAAATGAAATTTTGCCAAAAATGAAGTTTAATTAGCATTCTGTGTTAAAAAAAAAAAAATGTTGGCATCAGTCTACAAGTGAGAGATGAAGATTTATAGGTGGATAATCAGTTGACCAGTCTTTTTTTTTTTTTTTTTTTTTTTACAGATATTCACACTTTCCAACTTAATTGGTTGTCAGGTCTATGGTTGGATGGCACATTTTGGATCCCAACTGAAAAGCACTTTACAGGTACAACTAGCTATTCCATTTAATGTTTACACACTCAAACTTTGCATATAACTATTCATCTCTAGTGAAAAATATCTAGCTTAACATTTCAATTTGTTCCCAGATCACCAAAAAGCTTTGCATAAATATAATGGCATATAACCACATACATTTTCTAAAAATATTTTGCATTTTGACAGTATATTACAAGTAGAAGAGTACATAGCCTAATGCATAATGTGTTTTTGATGTAGTAGCCTAAATGGTCATTTATTTATTTATTTTTTTTTGTGACAAAAAAGTCAAAGATCTATTGTAGTTTTCAGACACTTAAACATATATAAACGAAAAATCGGAATAAATTTAATTAACACCGATTAACATCGAATTTATGTAAATGAATGGACGGAAACACTTGACTGTACCTCACCAGAATCATACCACTGTGTGAACTGAACTGGGTGCATGGTCAGATTTGATCAATAATGTATGCTTATCATATGCAAAATAAATATGCATACAAATTGCCTTGAATGCATGCATAATAACATTTTATGCTTATCATAGTCCATGCGGTCTCTTTTGCTTTAATGCATTGACACCGTTTGAAGATATTCACGTCTCAATGAAAAAAATAATTCAACTGCAGAAAATGTCCCCCTAATTTATCACCATACACATCTACCGTGATTTCCATGTGTCCGAGTGATAGTCAAACTTACCCATCACCGCGTCTCAGTAAACTCCTCGCCACAGGTTTTACAGCTTTCTACCGCTCGAGACCCGAAACGGCATGGCACGCGCTCTCTTCAGATGGTTCGGTTCTTCCACACGCGCAAGTTCCCGCCTGTAGTCCTCCACCGCAGAGCAGACGCGGGATATCTTCAGTCTCTCCTGACTCACCACTGACCATATCTTTTAATTCCCCTCAAAACAAAATGTTCATAATAAATATCCACTCGAACGGAAAGAATCCATTTGAAATCCTAACATTTTTACATCAAGTCAAAAACAGAACCGAAGACGCGCGTTTCCAAATCCAAGTTATCTACCACAAGTCAAACTTATGGAAATCCCAGCAATCCCCTTCCACCTCAGTGTATTCCATCGCAGCATAATGCGCAAACACTGTCTTTCCCGAGATGATGATGATGATGATGATGATGATGCGTACCGTAGATTAATCCGTGGATGTTTAGTTATAAATAAGAATTGTGATGTTTAAGAGATTTCAATCCAGTCCAAAATTATTGCACTCAAAGGATATTGTTTGGAAGTGTACTCCACTCCATCGGGAATGTTTCTCCTCTCCTGTACAGTTCCCGACAGTACAGAAATGCAGCAGGATTGTGAGTGGTTAACCACAACCGCCTGTCGCACCATAACTTTGTCAGACAGAATCCGAATGCCCTCTTCTGGCGAACTGACATCTCCAGCAGCAATCTCTTCCCCTCACATTTCACTCTCACTCGATATTTCCAGAGGAAAACGAGTGGGTGACACTACAAGTCTATTAGATCGACTACCATAAAAGAAGAACACACGATCCAGCTGAAGAGAGATGTCTATTTCTTGACCCAACAACAAATCATCACAAAATCAAAATCTTTTTTTTTATTTTTTTTTTTTTATGTAGGCTAGCTACTGCTTCTATGTTCCCTTATTCTCTATCCGAAAATAAATAGAAACTGAATTTCGACATTGTGTGGTTTGCTGCATTTTAGTGCTTGTGAAAATAACCATGCACTTTATTTAAAATAATGTTTATTTTAAATAAAATCGACCCAATAGCCTATACAGTTTCTTTCTTGCAGCTTCAAACTTTCAAAAGCAAAGTATTATTAATATGGTGAGTAGCCTACTTAATGATTTATCATGCGTTTTATTTTAGCATTCTCCTGCTGCCATAGAGGACGTGTATTTATTTAGACATAACTAATGCACATACTTAAAGACTTTCATTCATTTTAACACAAATTGATATTTTAATAAGATACGAAGAGACAGGTGTTAACTTTATACACCAAACAACATGACACATGTTCTTCCATACACACATGTGGTAAACAGAAGCTCAAGCATGTTCGACTGATGTGCGAGAACCAATTAGGTTAATCCTCGTCTTACGCATCATGTTTGAGCTTCTGCAAGAACCAATGAGGTTTACTCGTGTTATGCAGCGCATTTGAGCTTCCAAGAACCAGTGCAGTTTGTTCTCATGCGTCAAGCACGTCTGGATGAGCTTCTGTTTATGTTCCCTGATCAATGTTTATATGAATAAAAGCCTAAATTAAATCTGTTCATCATATAAAGCAATCAAGTCTCTTTAGAAAATTAGAACTAAACCTTAATTCATATGGGTTAGTTTTATAATGCTTAAGATCATAAACATTTCGAAAATGTGAAAGTGGTAGTTGCATAGCTGTTAATGAGGTCCAGAAAAAGCTAAAATTTTATTAAAAAGAAGACGAATGAAAGTCGAACGGGTTTGGAACAACGGAAGTAGCTAAATGATGACAGATTTTTTATTTTTGGGCGAACTAACTTAAAGTTGACAATTAACATATCTTGCGATAGTCATTTCTTCTCTAAGTGAAACGGCTTGAGAATTTTTTATTTATTTATTTATTTTTTAAATGTATGACGGGACTTGATTTGTCTATTAGGAATTGATTCATCTCATGTGAGTTTGTCCTCGTGCCAGTAAACACGTTGTTAGAGAAGAGAAGAGAAGAGAAGAGAAGAGAAGAGAAGAGAAGAGAAGAGAAGAGATGTCATTGCAAGTGAGTATATGTTGTTGTTTTTTTATTGAAAATTAGGCGGGCTCGAATTAAATTGAGCGGGCTATGAATTAAAAAATAAATAAAAATAATGATGTGCACAAATATAGAGTATAGAGATAATTAAAGTTTTGTTTATTAACCTATAGAGTGCCAAGTAGTGTATCTTTAGGTAACTAAATAAGGACTACAAACACCACAATGATGTAGTCCTGCTTATAAGTCATCCATTGTTTTCCTCATGTTTTATCTAAATAAATATATGCAGATAGGTATCAATTTGACATAGTCTGACCTCAAGGCCCTGGGTTTGATTGACATTGCTGTCATGAATTCCACAATGACCGTCTAATCAATCATTATGGGTTTTCACATGGACTTGAATCTGATTGTCTGTGGTTGTCCTCATTACAAAGGAAACGTTTGACTGGCACTGCTATTTCCTGCTTCATCATTAGCACAACCCTGTAATTTCTGTCCATCAAGTGTCCCCTTCAAACTAACAAGCCAGTTAACAGAAGCATTTAACCTCTCCAGGCTGAAGTGAACTGATTGAGCAAAGACAATTACTGAGAAGCTGACCATATAATATATGTATTTTACACAATGTACATTACAGAATATGTGAATGCCTGAATGAGAGAAATAGAGAGTTGCTAAGAATGAAAGAGGCTTGTGTTTCCAACATTTCCTCCCTGTCTTTAAAGAGAACAGCTTATCCCTGTGCAATTGTACAATTGCCTAGAAACCGAGGCCAGACAGCTGCAGTCTTTACCAACAGTTCAGAAAGAGGTCATGGTCTGTATATTTTTTGAGTTTTGGTGCAAAAACTATACCTTCATCAACTTGTATACTTTTTTATGAACACTAAAAAGTTTCTCTGATCAGTTGTTGAGCAAGCTGTCATTCTATAAGTAGGTATAATTGTCAGTTGCACGTTTCGAGAGTTCTACCTGGCCTCAGCACTTTTTCATGAAATTGAGCTTGACACCTGGGTCTGTAATGCGAAAACATAATTCCCTGGAACTCTTACTTATATACCTACTGGACTTCAATCTGGCTGATGGGCCGCTCCTTGGCCAGGGTTCAACAAGCAGAGACAGTCCTGCTGACAGCAGTGAAACAATTAATGCCCTGTGAAGTTATGACTCTGGCAGCTGCCCTTGTCTCATGTAGTGCTTCCACTCTGTTGACAATGTTATCCCTTTTTTTTTTTTTTTTTTTTGTTTGCTGCTGCTTCTTCACATGCTGATGTTATTTAGATATCTGTCCGGTTTTACAGGAGTGGAAACATCAAGCTAAATCCGGGGCTTTATACGATAATCGAGTGTGTTACCATTTCAAAATATTGACTTTATAGCCAAGAAAACCATTATACTACAATAACAATGTGGCGAGCAGGCCAAGTGGTAATGAGCGACACCTGAGTCGCATCGGTCTCGCATCTCTCACGGAGGAGCAGCATAAAGGAGGAGTGACGACAGTGCAGATAGAGGCTGGAACAGGCCTTATTTTATGTTGTTTCTGTGGCCAGCTGTCATCCATGAGGGGCTGCTGGCTTTACTTTTATTTATTTATTTGTTTATTTTATCATTAAAGTCTTGAACATTTGTCAGTTCCCGCCTCCTTGTTCCCATAACAACGAACCCCGTTACAAGCAAGTTCTGTAAACTTGAATATCTTCAATAATGCGCAGCTCTATATATTTATTTCATCTATAATTTTATTTCAATATAATTTTATTATAGAAAAAAAAGTCTAAATATTATTCAAAAACAAAAGAAAATATTTTGAAAAATACGGGTAACCAAACAAACAGTTGATGGGCCCCATTGACTTCCAATGTATGGACAAAAATACTATGGCATCAAAGCGGTACATCAACTGTTTATTTTTATTTATTTATTTATTGTTGTTTAGCAGAAAAAAGAAATTCATACAGGTTTGGAACAACTTGAGGGTGAATATATGACAGAATTCATTTTTTTGGGGGGGGTGAACTATCACTTGTTTTCTTTCAGACATGCAATAGCTTCTGGATTTTGGTTTGTTATCTGGCTGCATCACCCAGTTACACTTAAGCTTCAGCTTACACACTGATGGATGGATATTCTCCTCAAGAATTGCCTGGTATATAGAAAAACGTATGCTTCCCACAGTGATAACAACAAAAACATCCATATAAAATCAAACTGCCACTATTATGCTTTACAACATACTGTATGATGACCTTGCAGTGAAAGGATGTGCTCACTGTACATGTGCTCCGTTATATTTTCCCAGAATTCGTCCAGGGATCATTCAGGTGCAAGCATGAGATTTTGAGCTCTGATGTTTTGTTTTTTTTGTTTTTTTGTCAAGCACTGGTTTTCACCTTGCCACTCTTTTTATTATTCTCTTTCTTCAAGTCATGAACACTGACCTGATGCTAGAGATATCTGAAGTTCAACCAGAAAGACTCGGGAGAATAAATACTGTAACAATAAATACATTTATTGATAGCCCAGCAAGCAATAAAGTTCTTTGGCGTAGGCCCCGTCCATAGCTTGCAATCAGAGGGTCCGGACTCTGCATTTCCTGCCTGAAGACGAAGGCAGGGGCGCAGCCGACCCCCTGGGAGGTATAGGGAGGGACCATCCTGGTGGTGGTGGGGAGGCTGGAAGGGAAGGAACCATCTTGGAGGTGGTGGGGAGGTTGGAGGTCAATGGAAGCGTCAGCATCTGCAAACTCAAACACGTGTAAGTAGAGGTCTTATACACCGCAAGTATTAGACACGATTGGATAGATGAGAAGGTAATTAGTGACGCAACAATTGAGTCTTCCTGGCAGAACTTACCGCTAAAGCTTCCATTTCTTTTCTTTTTTCTTTCTTTTTTTTTTAACTTCCCAGATGAGCTGCTGCTATGACCTTGGAGAAACTTTGGCAGGTTGGCGACTTTTCTCAATTGTGGTTCAATTGAGTTCATGAACATTTGAAATCAGCCCATTCTCACTCCCAAGGCGTCACCTAACTGACGCCTTGGGAAGAATTTGGACATGCTTCAATATCTGACGCTTTAGGCGCCCTTTAGCGTCAGTTAGATGACGCCCTAGGATCGCGTGTACCCTACCCCCACCCCACACCTAAACCTAACCGCGTCCTCTAACTGACGCTTTCCTTTAGCGTCAGTTAGATGACGCCGTAGGATCGCGTCATGTAAGTGACGCTAAAGGGCGCCTAAAACGTCAAATATTGAAGCATGGTCAAAGGTGACGCCTTGGGGTGAGAATGCGTTGTTGAAATAGTTTTCTAACCCTTTCCAAACTTATATATCACAACTTTATTTTCTCAACTGTTTTGGCTTTTTTTTGAGGAACTGAATGCAGCATTGTGTATCTTTGAGGTGACCACATCTCTGAATGAATGTTTCAATATGTATGCAATTATTGAATGCGCTGATGATGCGTTGTCTGCACGGAGGCATACAAATATTGACAAGCAGGTAGGACATCGTCAACATTTTTTTGTTCTGAGACTTCCTCTGATGATATATGTACATGTTTACCACTTCCATTATTGATTGCTATGAGGATGTGAAGAGAGTTTCAAAAGTGTTTTATAAAACAAATTTGCCTACCATACCTTTAAATATGCTGTAAATAGAAATCTCTCACAGAAGCTCTCAATAAAGAATAAAAACGTTGCTCTCAAAAATAACCAAACTGCTTTGGTGCTGTTTTTTTTTTTTTTTTTTTCTCACAGGGGTCCAGGCCCCCCGGACCCCCCTAGAAAATAAGGATACTTTTGTGCTTGATGGGAGCCTGTGCCTCAGTACTGATAAAATGCTATAGAGATATGCAGCACTGGTTTTCTTATATTTGTCTTCTTAACAAATCCCTGTTCCAAATTTAAAAGGTTGAGTAATCACCAGGTGGTGATTGTTACACTTTCACTAAACTGTGAAATAAAGTTAAAGCCGAAGCATTAAACTCGCCAAACTGAGGCAAATAAAATGACAGATGTTTTGCTGGTTTGTTGACAAGACTTGTGAAGTGTGGCGGCAGTTCAATTCTGGAGCGTTTGCATCAGTGTGTGTGTGTGTGTATACAACTATCTTTGTGAGGACCGGTTTGAGAGTGTAATGTAAGAGTGTCAAGACTTGATTTTTATGAATACGGTTATAGGTAATGGGTATGTCTAGGGTAGGGGTTCAGGATTGGCACTTAGTTGTGATGGGTAAGGAGCTAGAGATTGCATTGTGTCAATACAAGTCCTCACGAAAATAGATGTACAATGATGTTTGTGGGTATTTGCATAATGGCATGGGTATTACACTGGGATTTCAATGTAAACATGGTTTATTAGTACATTTTCTGAGTCCTCGTAATTAATATGTTTAAAAACCATACTAAACATTTATCAAAAATATAAAAATGCAGAAAGTGTTCTATGATGGGTAGGGTAGGTTTAGTGGGGGAGAGAATATACAGTTTGTGCAGTATAAAAAGCATTATCCCTATGGAATGTCCTCATAATAGTACATGCACCAGGTGTGTGTGTGTATGGGGGAACCTTACCAACATTTGCCACATACTGTGTCCCAATCTGGAGAGCTGTTATCTAAACAGATATCATAGGATGCTGGGATTGGATTTACAGGAACAGGACATATGGATCTGTTTGGAACAGAGTCACACATTTACCACCATGGTCTTGAAGACAAAAGAAAACCACAACCCATCTTTAGAAAACATTCAAAGTAGATATACCTTTTGGAATTAGAAATAATATGAAATAATAATAATATGATAAAAAAGGGGAAAAAATTCAACAGAAAATGACAAGATATTATATATTTTTTAAAGAACAATTCTGTTATTTAAAGGTACAATATGCAATATTTTTGCAGTAAAATATCCAAAAACCACTAGGCCAATGTTATATATTTTGTTTAGTTGATTACTTACAAAATCCCAAATGTTTCCAACTATATGTAAATCGGGAGAAAATTGCAATTTTTAACCAAGGAAACGGGACGTGTCAGCAGGGGTGATGAGTCGCCAGTCAATGACGTCATATCCGCGTTACCCCCGGTTTCCGCCATGTTTGATGTCGCACTACAATAGTAACCATGGCGACAGATGTGGACAACTGGGTCGGTTGTGCGTGCTCAACAGCGTGAGCGTCCCTAGCAGGGTTTTGTTCAAATATTATGGACCGTGGCAAGCAGACTTTGAGACAAAAGAGGACTAAAACGAAGATCAACATCTTTCCAGATGCCGAGAGCTCCACGTCCGCGACCAATTTTTACATGACAGAGTGTTGCATGTTACTTGAGAAAAGAGGTGAGCAAATCAATGTAAAACTAATCAATGTTATATACAGTAGTTCAACATGATGAAAAGTTAGAATATGATCTGTATGTTCTTCTAATGTTGATTTAGCTTAGTCTCATACTGCCAACAAACAACCTAACTAACAGCATTCAACACACAAATGCAGTTTAGCGTTACAGCACTGCGTTACCTCAAGTTTAATTCCTCTAACAAACTGACCTGTGTGAGTATTTCAGCATGTAGTTCGGTAGAATTAAATGTCCTTATTCCTTTATATCTGTGGGACTCGCGTTGTGTGTGACGCTGTTATAAGTCTAGTAATCGCGCCCTGCTTCATACCACAGTCATGTTAAAAACATCAATGTATTCACTCATCCATAAAAGATCCATCAGCTTGACAACAAGATCCATAATTCTGCATAATATACGTCATTAATATACACCTTTGTTATTGTAAGAGGTTAGCAACCCCTGGTGGCGAAACAATCTTGCATATTGTACCTTTAATGCATATTAGCAGAGTGTTTATTGTGCTAACTTGTGTCTTATTTACAGCTATATTTTTATTCTGTTCAATTGATTTTATACAACCATAGTTGCTCAGACTAAGAACTGAACAAAGAAGAACGTTTTTAAACACTGGTGTACTGTATATGTATTCTTTGATTTTCTTAATGTTTCATAGCAATGTGTGCAGTGTTTTAATCTTGGCTAAGCACAGTTCATTTATAGCCCCACAGAACCTGGGGCGGAATCTGAAACCAGGGCGATTTATGGCCTGTGTTTCTGCTGATACAGTCCTGCCTGTCAAAACCATCAGTGTAAAACAAGCGCCACTCATCGTAATGCCCAGATATGCAAACAAAACATGAAGAGACCAGCAGAGGGAACAGCTAAAGTAAAAGAGGCCTTCAAATCAATTACCCTGTCCCATCAGTGTCATAGCAATTATGAAAAGTCATTAAATTATACTGTTTCATATTCCACTCAGATAAAATGGGAATTCAAGCCCAACATTATCTGTGCTTTGTAAAGGAGGCGATTTGTGTTTCCACTTTCACTTATGACACTGTGTGTGGTTGGCTTGTAAACACTGATTATTTCATTTTGGTCTTTTATACACACCAATGAATTGTTACTTGGGAATGTTCGGTTTAAGAGCCAAACAAACATTTTGGCAGTTTTTTCAAGCTCTTTTCACACTCATTGAGTTTGCTTATCACTCCCTTGCTCTGTTATGAAACCTAGTGAGCTCCCAACATACAGCATTATAAGCTCCAGATTACAAGGCTATTTCAAAAAAGGGGCTGTGTTGCTAAATTCTTGTTGACCAACTTGAAAAACACATAATCTTTTCAAATAGCCAATAACGTTTAGTTTACCTCACAGACTGATTGACAGCACCATGGAAGCAAATCCATGAGCGTTGGATTCAGTAGTAGAGGTGCGAATAAATTCTAGCCATTTCATTATTCACCAACGTAAAGTTGGAAAACGGAATAAAATTTGAGCGTTTGAGCAAACGAATACACATCTCCAACCCATTTTGCTCCTTGACATGTCAACGGTTATCATAGGGAGCGGGGCCCTTTAGATTTTTGAAAGAATTTGATTGGATAGAAGATGTTTATTTGTTTATTTAGCTGACGCCTAGATGACAGCTAGTCTTCCTGGGCTCCAAACAATATATCAATATATCAATCACAATTACAAATATTTAATATATAAAATACACATATAGATTAGAAAAATAATAATTAAAAAAACCAAGCAAAAGTAACAATACAAAATGTGATGCGAAGCTGAATGATATAAAAATATGTGATACATTTTAATGGAAGTGAGAGAGTAAGTTTTGAATGCTTATATCTCCTAAATGCGAATTTTGTCATTGTTTTGGAACACCCCGGCTAATTCATCATGACCTTAAAGGCTAATATATACTAGTAAGCGAATTTTTTTTTTTATTTTTTTTTTTTAGGCCTTTATGTTCCGGACCAGAGCATGCTCACATCATTCACGATGCATCTTTTTGTTTTGTAGAAAACAGGAAGAAAAGCGTTAGATTGTGCTGCAAGTATAAGAAGACTATTACAGAGGCAGCTGACTGTTGAAGGAATTTGCAGCTTTCCTCGCAAAAGTCAATTCCTGTTCGTCAATAAGCGGAGCGGAGAACCAGACCCTTATGCACCTTTGGTGGTTAAACGTTCATGGGCACGGTTAAGATCGCCAACTAAGTGTGAGTACACCTTAATTCCAATGCTTGACTGGACTAGAGAGAGAGAGAGAGAGAGAGAAAGAGTGAGAGAGTGTAACGTAACGCAACCACTCCCGCAGAAATACACGCGTTCAAACATGGATGATTGGAAACACACACCTGAACTGATGACGAAATCAAATACCTAGGCTGCGTCCGAAACCGCATACTTCCCTACTATATAGTATGGAAAAAGCAGTAGGCGAGCGAATAAGTATGTCCAAATCCTTAGTATCCATAAAAGAGTAGGCGAGAATTACCAGAGTGACGTACTAATTATCGCGAGATTCGGGCATACGTACGTCCGAATATTCCTACTTTCGTACTATATAGTAGGGGGAAACAGTATTTGAAAGGAGTAGTATGTCCGAAACCTCAGTACTCATAAAAGAGTAGGCGAGAAGTTCCCGGATGATCTCCTGCTTTCGCCCCGATTTTTGAGTGTTCATCCGATGGATACTCTTCTATCCCAGGAGGCCACGGGAGAGCATACGTCATTATCAACATCGGAGATCAGCAGGGGTTTTCAAATGTGAGTAAACACGGTTTCTTGTGTTTAAATCGTATGTGTTAAACTACTATAGAGTAAACGTTTTAACTGTTGAAGGTCTAAAGGACTTAGACAGTATAGTATAGTTGTGATTTTGCTGTAAACACATGTTTTATTAGTTAGTTAAACTGGGGAGCTCCAGTAAGTACGCTACACGTAAGTTTCTAAAATGGATTTACATAACCATATAACGTTACATCTTAAATACGCTCATTTAAAATGTCTATTTACATCTGAAATGAAAATATTGTTTAAGTATTGCAGATGAGCACATCCCAACATGAAAAATACATCTGAGTGATGTAACGTTATGTGTGCTATTAATATGAAGGATAATTCACTGTTGTCAACACTACTTACATTAGACAAATGTACTGTAAATAAGGTAAATAAACAAATCTATAAAGTAACTAAATATGTTATATTTAATTTGTCCCTTATTAGTGTTGATATATTGAGGAACATTTAAGTTGGATTAAAAGTGAGTTAACACATCAACCTCAGCATGTAAATTCAGTGTTGAGCTCGTAATGTGAATCTTGTCTGTATGTTACAGGGACAGAAGAACACGCGTGTGTTTATCTGCTGGAGAGAGGCTCATGATGCTGAATGCTGTCATGAAAGGCTCTGAGTGAGTATACTACAGAAATGGATAACAAAATCTATTCAATCTTAAATTGTAGTTTATTTGAATTATTGTACAAATTTCAAGTAGAGAAATTACAACACTTTTCTGATTCTTGATTTCTGTGCATTTGCTGCATAGCTTTTGTGGTGGAGCAAGACCTGCAAGGAAAGATGATGGCAGCATTTGTTTTAGGGATTTTACTCAAATATAAAGTAAGGTTATTTTAATACATAAATCAAATGACATTGTGTTAAAATTACTGCTTTTGTATAATGTTTGTGCATTTTTGTAGGATCTGAAATGTCTGCAGACTGGTGTGAGCACTGAGGATGAGGAGCCTAGAGCTGCATCCTGGAAGTGGTGCCATGGATGAGTCCCTCCATCTCTCCACCTGCCCTTACAAGACCCTCTATCTCTCCACCTGCCCTTATTGCCTCAGATTGTGAAGCGCAGCGCAGCAACAAGCTCCGGGACGAAGGCACAGTCCCCTCTGGTGAATTCATCAGAATAAAGCCGCAGAATGGGAACCGCTGTGTTGAGACGGCATTAGGATGTGGTGTTCAGCCCTGTAAATACATGTTTGTAGTTTGAATAAAGCTTTGTTTCATGTGTTGTTGACTTGTATAATGCATTTGTTTATTGTGATGGTTACTTTTATTTGTTCTTTTACTCATTTATTCATTTTTATTATTGTTGTCAGTATATAAAATTGAATTATTTAATTAATGTATCCATTAATTCATCGATTGACTGATAATTGAGATGTTTCACTGCATTTATGAATATAAATTTATTCATGCATAACTGTCATATGACAAAACAAATTACATTTTGCTTGTTATATTAAATTATATTTTTAGTATATAAAAAAGTTATATAATTAAGTATTGGTCAGCATTTAATATTATTATTTTGTTTAAGTTTTGGGGTGGGCTAACAATGCAATTCATTCTGAGGTAATATTAATTTTTAAGGAGTGATACTTACATTTTTCGAGTATAAAATCAACAGTTTTCTCCAAAAGAGATCTTCGAGCAGCTGCCCGTCTCCTTTGTGCAGACATTACAAACGCAGAGGAAAACTGTTCTAGGTTGTGCTGTCGAGTCACTGATGTTATGAAGTGTTAGTACACCTGTCTCTCATAATTTAAACATAAACGTATTACATACAAGATCATGGAAAGATACCATAATAGTCATAATGACAAAACAGAAAACATAAAGATCATTGGTTTGTTTACATCATAATACAGGAAAAAGGAACAATAACAAGGCTAAATATCTTTAAATAGTTCTTCATAATACATGAAAAATGTTGTTGTTTTGTTGTTATAGGTCTGAGGGATAAAACGAGGTAAATTCATCAAGAAAAGGAGGAAAACTTAAAGGAGAAACGTTTTGGGTATAAAATAAAGAAATTAACAACATATATTCAAGAGGTGACGATTTGGGGGTTTCTTAATAAAAAAAATATCAGCTGTTTCTTCAACAATACCACAACAAAATGAGAAAGTTTCATCAATGTCAAGATATTTATAGATAGAAGAATTAAACGTGTCGCTGTTCATTTCTTTGCGCTTGTGATACGATGATAACACGTCGTAGTAGGTCACATGATAACGTCAACATGGCAGATGTCCGGTTCTCATTCATACTCAACGAGATTTGGCTATAAAGTACCTACTCTTTTAGCGCTCGTTGAGTAAGTACTTATTGAAATTAAGTACCTACTCATTGAGTATGCGGTTTTGGACGCAGCCCATGACAACAAACAAGACAAGGAGAAACGAAAAACAAAGTCCAAACTGAAGTGACTGACACACGCAAAAGGACCAAACAACATGATCCTCGTTCACGCTAAAGGTAATTTAAACCCTTTGGAACTTATCCCTAAAACATAATGTTTTATGAAAAAATTACAGAAAGAAGTTTGTTATGGGAGAATACAATTCTCGCATAGCACTGAGATTTTAGCAGAAGTATGTAGGCAGTCGGCTTTCATATTATCCATTCTTTGGTTGTCCATGCTGATCAAATTAAGTTTTACTTGTCAATAGCATAGAAAATACATCCACCAGCATTAACTAGCCAGGACCTGCATTGAAATTCATGCTGGTGTCTTTTAGCAGGGATCAAATCAGTGGTAAAGCTCTCAACTTCATTAAAAACAGTAAACCATGAGGACATAAAGGCATCTTAAACCCATCTTGACTTGCATATATTAATGGTAAACCAAAACTGCCACTATCAAAAATCTTTGCAGTGTGAATGTAGTTGTTAAGAAGAAATATTGCCTGATAGGATTGTTTTGCCCGTACGTGAGCCTGGTGAGGAGGAGGTCTATGGAAGGTCACTCCTGCAGTGCATAATTAGGCAGCAAACTGCCTCACTAAACATGGCGGCTGCCCTGCAGAGCACATTCCTACACACACACACACACACACACACACACAAACATATCCACCGATGCACATCTATGAGTTCAACACCAGATGGACAAACAAGCAAGGAACACACTCTCACTCTCTCTCTCTCTGGCTCTATTATTCTGTCCGAATTGGAGTGTCAGGATCGGTAGAATGCCAGTGTCGTATGCTCTAGCACACGTTCACAGTCTATATTTTATGTTCAATAATGTGTGCTAAGAACTCGGAAAGTGGTACTTTGTGTAAGTGAATTATGTATAATCTTCAAAGGCTTTGATAGGGGAAAATGTAGGGCCCTATCTTGCACCCGGCACAAATGATTTTGTACACTGACACATGTATCATTCAGATTTTGCACCCCTCAAAGCGAGCGTTTTCCTCCACAGACGCACGTCGGTAAACTAGGAAATGAATTTGCGCTCCCTGGGAGGGTTGCCGCAAAAAAAGAGGCGTGTTTCAGTGCAAACATTCCCTAGTGATATTTTGCAGTTCCAGAAAACAATTCCGCCACTGACCAAAAAAACCTAATCTAAAGTCAGTGGTGCGTTGTTCATAATGCTATTTTAAGCGCGAATGCTTGGCCATAATGTAGCGGGTGCACAACGCAGATTCACTTTGATTCTCTCGTCAACACAGATGCTGCAATTTTTATTTTTGCAAATCATACATTATAACAAGGACAAATATTAAAACATGAGGAAAATCATTGTGGTGTCCATGTAGATGTAAAAAAAATGTTGGCCTAAATCTAGCTTACACATTTACCCAAATTTTTCAGGCTAATTGTAGTAATGACAGATCAGACCTGTTTGCCCAATAGTGGCAGACACATATGTATATAAGGACATCTGACAAATGAATTTGTCTGTCATGAACCAGGAAAAATCTCCCATCCCATACAATGCCACTTCTCTTTCTTTCACTTGCCCTGACAAGAACGTCGGTCTCTTCGGCCGTGAACCGCTCCCGCTCCAATCCGCCATGCAACATGCATCATGCACACCTGCTCTTAAAGGGTATGTTGGATGACGCTATGATTGGTTTATTTCACGTTACGCTCAAACCACACCTATGAATAATGAAGCTATTTCAGGCCAAAAATAGCAACAGCGCCCAAGACCCACCCACAAAGTTACTTGCGCTTCGCGCTTGATGCTTGCATTTCAGAACGTTAAAATAGGTCTCGTAATGTTTAATATTTAAATTTAATGGAAATAATTCCATACTGACCACACAGAGACTACCGCCCAGAATACTAATGCCACTTAGGCTTTTATGTGGTTGTTAAATAATAAAATATCTCAACCATTTCTTTGAGGTATTCTATGTCCTCACTCCCAATTCATTTTACAACAGTGCAAGAAGAGCTTTACAGGGATTTTTCATCAAGACATTGAACAAAAAGGTACTGCTCTAGGTAGACTGTGGGCACCTCTCGCCCAGTACCCATACATAATTAAAGTCATTTAGCAAGGCTTGAGGTTGGTTTGGATCCATAAAATGTTGGTTAACCTTTGAAGCCATGCCAAGACCTGCAACCTACAAAAGATAGGTGCAGCGCTTGTCCAAATGAACTGATGGCCAAACATTTTTAGTGAGATTTAAGCTGGTGTGAAAGGCTTTATTTGATCCTTTTTAATGGCATTAGGGTTGTGAGGGTTTTCTGTATTGATGTTTAGCTTCGTTTAACCATAGTCACCCCTCGAAATGGCCCCAGATTGTCTCGATTTATGATTCGCTTGCAGCCTCCAGCAAGCCTAGCTGAATAATTTACATTGTGCTGAGAACTGCGTGCCTGGAATGGCTGATAGCATTGTTGCATGCGCGAACGTATGTGTGTGTCTGTGTGCATGTCGGGCAGAAAGGAATAAGGCCAGCAACAGAATTTCTTACCTTTCAACAAAGAGGTTGAAAGGTAAGAAACCTGGGAAGGCAAATGTTTGGTGACATGTGGAAGAAGGAGATCCCAGCGAAGCTAATTTTCCCCTCAATTTATCTTTGCAATTGTCTAAAATTTTAACTGCAAAACCTGCAAATTTTAGCACTTTCTGAAAACACTGACCTGTATGATGATATAACCATCCATAACTTCTCTAGATCAGATAAACGTTGGTTATTGAATTGTTCAATACAACAATGTACTTGCCCACTAAATCCTTCACCTAAATCTCTCCAGTTGAATACATAGAGTGACACAGTGGACATGTGACTTTGAGGTGATGAGAGATGATATTGTTTCAGGCGCATCCAAGTGTAACAATATTTTGATTCCTATTGGTATATTTAGATCTTATCAGAGTCATGCAATGAATTAGATGATGATCCATTTTTATGGCTGAGAAATGTGTAGATACTGTGAAAAACTTGTTTATGAGTTGCGGAATGACTACATTGTGTTTCCTCCAAGTCTCGCTCGTGACCCATTTGATCAGATCTGAAATGCACGAATTTTTGTACCTCAGTTAATAGGAGTTCAAATGAAGATCAGTTATCAACATGACAGAGACACATGAGAGCGAAGCACCTATGATGTTCTACAGATCTCATGATTGAAAGACACAGAGTTGAGAGGGTCGGGCATGAGTGATGTCGATCTCCAAGATGAAGCACATCAAACTTGGTAAGAAGCCAGGGTTTAAATATGAAAAATCATGTAATGAGCCTCAGAGGAGCTGCTCTCAAGCTCTAAAGAGAGAATGGCAGGAGAACGAGGCAAATACAAGTCAAGGAAAAGACAATCCTGGTGGAAAAG